CCACTCTTTTGTCACTTTCCTTTGGTTTAATTAATTGATTTAGACTATGAAAGTTAACTCCTTACGAATCCTAAGTTGTTCCCTCTATCATACCTAAAGAGAAATTTTTCATTTTTACTTTAATAATTTTCTTTGCTCACTAGTTAATTTATTTTTCCCTATCATTTTAATTTTTCCTTCTAAAAAGATCCCCTCAAAAATTACATTTGTATTCATTTAGTTTAATTTAATTTTCATATAGATTTTAGGGCATTTGCATGTTGCATTTAGATTTAGGTTTTTTGCATTTTAGTTTAGATCCACTTTATTGCACTTTTCATCACCTAAATTTTTACCTAAAAAAACACATAACTTGCTCTTTGGAAGTAATGACCTAGATTGATCTAAACTACAAATTAATTGGGATTTAGTTTAATGGAGTGCTTTAATGACAGGGCATCATAAAGCCCATCAAGAGAAGAGTACTACAACCCTAAACCACCACTAGGGACTCGAATATTTTTTCATGTTAAAAAAATCAATCACCATATGCTAGAAATAATGGATGGCACAAATATACTCTACCAACTTAGATTCGACTATCTCCAGGAAGTAATAAATGCCATAAAAAGATTTATTTTTTATAGCAGTAACTAGTAATGTAAAAATATGTTTAAATTCAATAAGATTGATGAATAGTTCAGGATAAAAGCTTAACGTTCCCTTGATGGTGTAACCATCAGCATGTGATCCTAATTAATTTATTTGTTGATTTTTAGTTTTTGTGCACCTGGTTTATATAATTGAACTTATGTTATTTGTATCTAAAATCTACAATTAAGCGTAAGCAGGAATATAGCCTCTTGATTAATATAAAGGCTACTTTCTATAATAGCTACTCGACAACTCCTATCTCTCAGCCCTAAATACCTATTCTAGCCACTTCATCTTCTCCTCTGTTTCAGTCAATTTCAACTTTTCTTCAAACATGGGGGGTTAAATTTCTTGAAACTCTCTATAACTTGAGTGATAGTAGCAGGCTGGAGCTTGAGGAGGGCACCCCCAGTACTACTTCCTAATTCATGTATGCTACCTTCAAAATGATGATCACTAGCTTTCTCATTGAAAAGACCATTTTTGTTGACATGGTTATCTCCCTGTCAATCCATCATACAATAATTTCAAAAGTTATAAGCATGCATAACAAAAATGTTCATAATAAAGAAAAGCATGTATAGATGATTAAGGAAAAAAAAAAAAAAGATGCATGGTCCTCGATGTAAGTATGCAACTTTACAAATGATTGCATAAAAGAGGCCTATAGGCTTCAAACGCCTATACTTCGTATTGGTTCCCTTTGTCGAGAAACAATGGGATAAGACACTAAGTTCTAGTCATCAAAATTCAATTTACAGCATATATAAGAACAAAAAGTAAGTTCGTGAAGTAGTGACATTTAATAATATAAATAGATATTAAGTCCCAGCATTCTAATCAAAGATTAACCCACTCACTTCAAGGTCAACAGGTCTCCTCTCCTACCTACACTGCCAATTGCTGGACTATGGTTCGAGAGGTTTCTAAGAGCTTTATCTCAAATTCGAACTAGGAAAAAATAGAGCTTGACAGAATGTCAACACTATGGGCTCGTTTGGTTAAAGTTATGCAATGGTAGTCTTTATTGCATTGTCATAAATGACCGTTTGGTTGGATTTATTAATGGCCAAAAGGACATTTTTTGGTAATATGTGACACACTTTTACCCTCACTTGGGTAAAAAGACAAAATTTGCCCTCAAATAAAAACTCCTACTATCAGTCAACATAAAACGATGTATCTAATGCATGAGAGCCAAACTACTTGAGGGGTCTGCAACGGACGACGGAAGGTGAGAGCAATGGACATCGGCACTAGCGAGGTGAGTTGGTTTTTTGTTCTCTTTCACCACAGCATTTACTACTTCTACCTCTGCTTCTTTGTTGATTTCCTTGGCCGCAAATGCTTCTGTCTAATATCCATATCTTTTATCTTTCCTTGGCGCAATTCTCCCTCCCTATTTTGTTTTTTGTTCTATATACATTGGAAATTTGAGGGGAAAAAAAAGGAAGGAAGAAATTCATATTTAGTATGCCAAATAGTAAACTATTGAAAGCAAAATAATCAAGCAAAATAATCAAACTCAAATGAGAGCTTGAAAAATGGAATGGATTTCAGAACTGCAAGAATGCTTTCATATATTCTAAAACAGTATTGTTGGTATTAATTCTTGTATCACCAAACTGAAGAATTTCAGATTGCAAGAATGATATGATATATGAGAGGCAGGTTATTGATAACATAGATATTTCATAGAGGGTAGTTGAAAGAAGTGAGAATTAGAGAAAGTGTCTCTCTGTAAGATCTTTTCAAAATCTTCTACTACTTCTAAATGTATATTTGAGAGAAGTGAGAATTAGAGAAAGAGTCTCTTTGTAGGATCTTTTCAAAATCTTCTACGACTCCTAAATGTAAAAGGTAAATCACTAGTAAGATGTCCACATAGGCACTAACACTACAAAAAAATTGATTTTCAGCGGCGACTTTTTTGTCACCGCTAAAAGTATAAAAGTCGTCGCTGAAAGTTTTCAGCGGCGACTTGTCATTGCTAAAAAGTCATTGTTATAGTAGTCATGGCTGAAAACTTTCAACGGCAACTAAAAAGGTCGCCGCTGAAAGACACTTTCAGTGGTGACTTTTAGAAGTTTCAGTGGTGACATTTGTCACCGCTGAAAACACTTTCAATAGCGACAAGAATTCACAGCTGAAAGACACTTTCAAGGGCGACATTCTTGTCACCGCTAAAAAACTTTTCAGCAACGACAATTTGTCGTCGCCAAAAGGGATGTTCAGTGGTGACTTTTTTGTCACCGCTAAAAGTAATGCCTAAGAAGAATTGGCTTTACCAATGCCACGTCATCACCGCTGGCCGCCATGTCATCATCGCTATCGGCGGCCACGTCATCGTCACCGGCTACCACGTCATCACCACCGGCTGACACATCATCACTAGCCACCTCTATATCATTGCCATATCACTCATCTCCGCCACGTCATCGACCAAATATTTTCACCTTAAATGTGTCTTCTTCAAGATTCAAACTTCTGACCATCTCATTTCATGTCCAATCTTCTTGTCGCTAAGCCAGATTGGATTTGTTTATTAATATTGTAAAATAAAATATATATTATATATATATATATATCATTATATTACACTTTCAGTGGTGACATTATAAAGTCGCCACTGAAAGTCAGACCTTCAGCAACGACCATAAATGTTGCTACTGAAAGTGAACCTAATAATTCTCAAAGGTATACTTTCAGCGGCGACAAAAAAAGTCACCGCTGAAAGTCTTAGTTTCAACGGCGACTTTTTGGTATTGCCACTGAAAATCCACTTTCAGCGGCGGTGACTTTTTTTGTCGCCGCCAAAAGTCTTCGTCTAAAGTCTTTTTTTTTTTGTAGTATAAACTCTTGTCTATTCTTGTGAGGGGAAAAAAAAATCAAATCCACGTCCACCTTTTATAACAAAATTATTTTTTCAAAAAAGAAAAATCAGTTGCGGGCAATACTTGAGATCCTAAGTTTGAAATCATATTCCCAAGATTTTCTTGTCAAAAGAAAAGAGCAAGCATGATATATTCTAATTCCCAGCATATATATGCATTCACATTTTATTTTGGAATCATATTCCCAGGATTTGCTTGTCAAAAGAAAAGAGCAGGCATGATATATTCTGACTCCCAGCATATATGCATTCACATTTTATAAATTGGCCCACACTAAGTCCCAGCTTCAATTCACAACTATCAAAAGAATAGTCACATACATATCACAACAGTATGAAAGCATTTAGTAACTTTTTATGCTTTTGAATTTTAGTAGGTAAACTTTTAAACACAATATGCCTAGCAGATGAAATTGGCCACTACAAACTCATCATAAATCTAGCTCAACTATCATTATATCACAAAAAAAGAACTACAACAGGACACAAAACTATTCTAATTCTTAAGCTATATGTAATGACACTTAACAATTATCAAACCGTATGCTCTAGCATAAGGATCTGGAGTAGAGTCTAACTTTATTTATTCTAAGCATAAGGATATGCTGTAAATATTTAAAAGTTAGCAAACCAAGTTTTTATGAACAAAGAGGCAAATATAAGATCATTAAATCACAAATAGAATAATTATAAGGAATATCGATACATGGTTCTGATAGTAGATCATCAAACAACCCAAAATGAAAGAAGATTTCTAAAACAAATAAACTTGTAGTGTGTGTATCCTTCGTTTGTTTCGGTGAAATCAAAAACTAAAAAATCAAACCATCTGAGCATATTTAGAATAATACTATTCCCCGTCCAAATCAGATTTCTCAAAATAGCATAAAGATAGAAGAAATAAAAGAATATAATCAAATGAATTGCAGTAGAGTTAAAAATTTTGAGTTTGAAGACCTTACACAGCGTTTGAGAAGCCTGAACGAAATTGGAACTAGAGTAATAAGATGCAGAAAATCGGATCAAACATCAATATACTTTTAATATCAAATCAAGATCAATTAGAACAAAAATAAAGCATTGGGTCCCACTTTTTTTTTTTTTTCCTGACGTCAAGTTAAGGTAATACCACTATGAATTACTAGACATAACTAGAGCCAAAGAAATCTCGGCCATGGCACGTATATTAATTAGAATTAGGTTCTGACACTAAAATTCAAATTATTTTAAATTACTTTCAGCAAATTCAAATTAGAATTAGTATAAATTCCTACCCTCTCATCCACCATCACACCGAATATAATCTCCTGAAGATATTATTCGAACGGGACTTTCTCGGGCCCGGCACGTTTATTAGTTTAGTTCTATTTTTATTATATTACCTTTCCTTGGTGACTAAGAATATGACTTGGGGCCAAAGAACACCCTAAACTATAAGTATGTACCCATTAGTCCGAAGCTTTCATCACTTTCTTTCATTCATCCACCGCCTCATAGTGTCTCCTTTTACATGGCAATTCTTCTAGGTCCTCCTGAGATCTATAACCCCGGCCAACCTCTCAGTCACGTGGCGGTTCTTCCAGGTCCTCCGCCTGAGATCCCTAACTCGACCCACAGCCACGATGCCACGTCATCATCCACCGCTGGCGGCGACGACGATCCTTTCATGGATCTAGTGGCGGCTGATTACGACGGTCCTGCTTTCACGGGTCCAGGTCCTCCTTTGATAGATCCAGACGGTCCTCCTTTGATAGATCCAGCGTGGCATGTTTACGTTCCTTTCATGGATCGAGTGGTGGCTGATTTTAACGAAATCCAAATACTGCCTCATCAAAACATGGGCTTCACAGAGAATAATTCTGCCACCTTCATCTCCACCGGCGATCCCTGTCTTGATTTCTTCTTTCATATTGTTCCTGATACTCCCTCTTCTTCTCTGGTACAGAGGCTCCAGTTGGCTTGGTCACATAACCCCTTGACTACCCTCAAGCTCGTTTGTAATCTTCGAGGTGTTCGAGGGACAGGAAAGTCTGACAAGGAAGGGTTTTATGCAGCCGCGTTATGGCTTTACACCAATCATCCCAGAACCCTAGCAATCAACGTCCCTTCTTTTGCTGAGTTTGGCTTCTTCAAGGATCTGCCTGAGATTCTTTATAGAATCTTGGAAGGTCTCGACGTGCGGAAGATTCAGAAACAAGAATGGCAGAAAAGAAAAGGACGCAAAAAGTATAACATGAAACCTCGAAGGGGAAAGGACAAGAAAAAATTGTCCAAAAACATACGGATTCCAGAAGTGAACCGGAAAGAGATGGCTCATGCAGAAAGAGAAGAAAAGAGAATAGCCATGGCTAAGAAAGTATTACAAAGATATCAGAATGATGCTAACTTCTGCTTACTATACGATCACATCTCAGATCATTTTGCTGAATGTTTGAAGGAAGATATAGAGTTTCTCAAACGTGAAGAACCAGTAAAGATCAGTCTCGCAGCCAAATGGTGTCCATCCATTGATTCCTCCTTTGATCGTTCTACACTGCTTTGTGAAAGCATTGCAAGGAGGATTTTCCCACGAGAATCCTATCCGGAATATGAAGGGATTGCGGAAGCCCACTATGCTTATAGGATTCGGGAGCGTCTGAGAAAGGAAATTTTGGTGCCACTAAGGAAAGCGTTGGAATTGCCAGAAGTATATATTGGTGCAAATCAGTGGGGCTCATTACCATACAATAGGGTAGCCTCAGTGGCCATGAAATTCTACACAGACAAATTTATGAAACACGATGAAGAAAGATTTACCAAATACCTAGAAGATGTCAAATCAGGCAAGTCCACTATAGCAGCCGGTGCTTTGCTTCCCCATGAGATCATAAGATCGTTGGATTATGATGAAGATAATGAACAAGTAGCAGAGCTTCAATGGAAGAGAATGGTGGATGACTTACTAAAGAAAGGTAAGCTAAGAAGCAGTTTGGCCATCTGTGATGTTTCAGGAAGCATGACTGGAATTCCAATGGAGGTATCAGTGGCAATGGGGTTATTGGTATCTGAAACGAGTGAAAAGCCATGGAAAGGGAAGGTCATTACATTTAGTGCGAACCCAGAATTGCATGTGATAAAAGGGAAGGATCTAAAGTCCAAGATGGAGTTCGTGAAAGGAATGGAATGGGGAGCAAATACTGATTTTCAGAAGGTGTTCGACGTAATTCTAAAGGTAGCAGTGAAAGCAAATCTCAAGGAGGATCAAATGATCAAGAGGGTATTTGTTTTCAGCGACATGGAATTTGATCAAGCTTCTTGCAATCCTTGGGAAACCGATTATGAAGTAATCAAAAGAAAGTACAGAGAAAAGGGGTTTGGATCTGCAGTGCCTCAGATAGTTTTTTGGAATCTCAGAAATTCTAGGGCAACCCCAGTGGCTAGTAATCAAGATGGAGTAGCATTAGTAAGTGGGTTTTCTAAGAATCTGCTTCAAATGTTCTTAGATAATGATGGGGCCATTAACCCCCAAGCTGTCATGGAAGCTGCAATTGCTGGCAAAGAATATGATAGATTACGTTTGTTGGATTAACTCGTTTGTGAATTATCTATTCAGTGAATTGGAATAAAATGTTTTTACTTGATTCATGTGTCTGTAGTTTTCTGTTTGTAGTACATAATTGACCAGGATTTTTCTTCTCTATGATTGCATAAGAAAATTTAATTGGTGTCAATTGTATTTAAATTAGGAATAGGCAACCTGATTTAAATATATATATATATAGATATAAACATAATTAGAGATGCCTATAGACATCAATTGTTACTTATGTCGATTACCTATAGTTGTGGCGTCAATCGTTAGAATTGATTCTTTCATAAGTAATACTAATGCGAAATTAATTAATGATAGATAAGAAAAAGATTTGAGGTTGAAAAACCATAAAAAAAATTAACAGCTATGCTTATAGGGGTGGAAACAGGCCAAGCCAGGCCAGGCTTCACCCTTAACAGGCTAGGCCTGTGTTGAAGCCTGTCAGCCTGAGCCTGGCCTGTGGCCTGTGACAAGCTTTTTATTCAGCCTGAGCCTGGCCTGTAACTAAGTTTGGCCTGGCCTGAAGCCTGTTAAAAAGCCTGTATTTCTAGCAAATTTCAAATATACATAATTCAATCTAAAATTACAATAATTCAATCCAAATTATCTAAAATACAATCATAAAATATGAAATAATCAAACCCGCACAAATTTTTCATCTTGTTCGACGAACACCTTGAGAAGAAATCAAACGTATATTAAATCATAACAAACTTCAACAACTAATAAATATAACAAATGGTATTATTCAGATTCCAATTAGGAGATTACTCAGATGACCGCAAACCGTTCAATCACCATCTAGTCTTTTCCTTTGTTTCTTCATTTGTCTTCTTCTAAAAAATCTAATTGGTTGACTAAGCTCAAAGAGGCAGAGTGAGCACCACAATAAACATCTCAGTCAGAAATGTGGAGGAATCGGGAGAAAGCAAACTGCATATAGGCAAAATGAGTAAAACAAAATCAAAGTTATTACAATATGACAAGCCATGTGCCATAAGATAATAGGAAAAGATCGACTTGATAGCAAAAAATGGAACAAATATTAAAACAAATAAAATCATATTCCCAATCTTCAATACACAGATCAAATTCTTGAAGGGCGAAGTGGGAGTCACGACACTACACACACACACACATATGAAAACAAGTCGCAATGCTTCAAAATACCTGAGAACGGTGGTTGGAGACAGCGAGTCGATGATAAATGAAGTTCAGAGACGGTGAGTCGCGAAAAATGGAGTTCGGAGATGGCAATTCGATGAGCAAAGGCAGGGCAGGATAGTCGATAGAAGCGATGAAGAGCAATGAAGCAAAGAGGCAAAGTGTGATTCAAGGTTAAACACTGCGTGAAAGACTGAAGGGCGAAGACTGGAGCTGTGAAGCAAAGAAGCAAGCTAGCAAAGACAAAGAGAGAGCAGCGGCGGCTAGGTTAAACTCTCACGTAGGATAAATTACAAATTTACTATTATACCCTTAAAAATAATAACAGGCCCAGGCCGCCTGATAGGCTTAACAGGCTTGTAAAACAGCCTGGGCCTGGCTTGATAAGATAAACAGGCTTGTAAAAAGGCTTAAGGCTGCTTCTTCTTTATAATAGGCCAGGCCAATTACAGGCCAGGCCACAGGCCCCTGTCAGGCCGCCTGGCCTATTTCCATCCCTATATGCTTATATTCGAATCAGCAAAATTCTTATCTGGAATTATATATATACAATTTAATTGAACTAAAAGTTATTTTCTGCATTTTATTAAAATAAAAAAATATGTTAAGAATTTGAATTCAATCTTGAAAAACAATTAACTTATTATATATGCGCACAGATCTCAGATGTTAACTTAGTATATATATCTTCACCAAATATCAAGGGTTGTAAAATAAATTACTGTATCCGATCATTTCCAATTTTCAATTTCCAATTTTGCATAACATTATCATATCAGCGTATAATTTCAAAAAGATATTAATTAATAGATGACTTCTTGTTTACTAAAATTAAATAAAAATGGATTCAGAAAATATTAAACAAGCAAAAGATCAATGTTTTATCATTTCAATGTTGAGGATTTTTAGCCTAATATTGTGAGATTTTGCTCTTTTTTTTCTTTGACCAGAATATTGGAAGTTTTAAAATTTAATTCATTTTGAACGGAATAATCAATGAATAAATAAATTCAGAAGTTTAAAATTATTCACAATGAAACAATCATGACAAAGAAGATTAAAGTTATTTTGCATTCAAAATAAAAAAATAAATATATTTAATTTAAATTAAAAAAACATATTACATAATGATGAATCGCGCACTGTGAAATGCTGAGCATTTTTAGCCTAATACTGTGAGATTTTGTGTTTTTTTCTTTGACCAGAATATTGAACTTTTTGACTTTTTATTCATTTTGAACAGAGTAATCAATAAATTAATAAGTTCAGAAGTTTGAAATTATTCACAATGAAACAATCATGATAAAGAAGATTACAGTTATTTTGCATTCAAAATAAAAAATATAGATATTAAATTTAAATAAAAAAAATGTGTTAAGGATTTTTAGCCTAATATTGTGAGATTTCGCTTTTTTCTTTGACCAGAAAAATTATTCACAATGAAACAATCATGATAAATATTGTGAGATTGGAAGTTTTAACTTTTAATTCATTTTGAACAGAAAAATCAATTAATTAATAAATTCAGAAGTTTGAACTTATTCGCAATGAAACAATCATGATAAAGAATGTTACAGTTATTTTGCATTCAAAATAAAAAATAAATATATCAAATTTAAATAGAAAAAACATATTACAAAATCATGAATCATGTAACATCTTAGTTTCTAACCCTTTTTGACATCAAACAGAAGTAATTGGAACCATTCATTAACTCCTTAGGTTAGGAAAATTAAAATTTCAAAGCAATTGTTCTTGGGTTACAATTCATTATAACTTTAAAATTTAGCCCAACTTTAAAAAATCATGACTAAATCAAAAAAAATTGAAATGAAGTAGTCTCAAATCCTATTTGAAACTTACTGAATGATCTTTAAAGAAAAAATCTCAAAGCATAAGTTCTTAACATTTCAGCCTAGTTTCCACGCCAACGTGCACTATTCATATGATAAATTTTTAATTTTCAAAATTTATACCTAACTTTGGATAGGCCTAACTATTTGAACAAAACTCTAATTTTAATGAATTATCACTTATTTTAAAGCTAAAAATAAGATCTATTAAATTGTCAACTTTTATGACCAAATTCCCTCATTTGCTCATAATCACATTAACCCCAAAATAGGTGCTAATTAGGTTATTTTTGCACCATTATGCCATATCATTTCATGCATACTACTCCTCCGGTCCTTAATATAAGACCCAATTCTTGAGTTGGTTTTGGTCCTAAATATAAAACCTATTTCTCATATTTATCAATTTTCTCTAAATTACCCCTATGGATACCCCCTCAACCATAGTCAAATAGAAGAGGAAGAGGAGGTATTAAGAAAGATGATTATGGTGTTTTAGGAAAAATGTGTCACTTTTCTTATAATTAACTAACTTACCTAACTTCCTTAATCTAATCAAATTAGTTAAATGGGTCTTATATTAAGGACCAGAGGAGTATTTACTATGCCATTCAACTTAAAACCACACTCTAACCATCCACAATCAATGTATAATTACATAATATGGTTCATTAGTCCATAACAAAGATAGGGATTCAAGCAATGGCCACCTCTTTGCCTTTCTTTTTAGTGCTTCCATCCCTTAAATGGTTAGGATTTAAACATAATAGGGGTGTGAGATTTTAAGAAAATCTCAGTAGCAAAGAACATCAATCATAGTATCAAAATGCATGGTTAATTCATGTAATATGCAAGCATTTGACTTATGCATTATCATGCCATTAATGGAATTAACATGCCATGAAAAGAAAACACATAACATACCATTCAACAACTTAACTATACATATTTGCCAAGGCATCAATACTAGGAGTTAAACACATTTCAATATTCATAAGTCAACCATGTAAAACCCTTAATCTTAAAAACATTATAACTCATCATAAAATCACTACTATGGTAAAAAGGAAATCTGTTAAATGAACTACCATAGTAGGAAGAAATTTGCCTAATTTTGAATTCACATTTAAACCGTTGCATGCAACTGAAATCATTCATTTACATACACTGGGCCTCCGAGCCTCCGGCTCGGGTAACAAAACTCATCACATCAGCCCATCTAAAAGATTCCCAACAAAATAATCCAGAGTTCCATAAGACACTATCAATGGCCTCCGGCCAACCAAAACAAGGAGATACAATCTCTCCAGTTTACAACAAGGCCGGGTAACAAATATTTCAAAAGCAGTCCTAAATGTGGCAATATATACTAACCATACATATACAAATGCTAAAGGCCTAAAGCTAACCAAGCTCAAGCCTCTGCGTCTCTTCCCGATGGCCCACGCCCGGAACCTTCACCTGAAAACATTTTAAACCACGGGGTGAGACAAAGTCCCAGTAATCAGCCTTTCCAATACTAGGTACTACTAAATAGGTGCTCGTGAGGTGTCAAGTGGGGTAGTTCACAAATAATATGGTAACAAGATAGCCACAACAAGTTATGCAAATGCAATGATGCAATCTCATCCACCAAATCCCTCACTTTGGGGGATTTTTCAAGAGCCGAAGCCGGCCTATCCCTCACTACGGGGGACGTAAGGAGCCATAAAAGGCCTATCCCTCACTTTGGGGGACGTAGGGAGCCAAAAGGCCTATCCCTCACTATGGGGGACGTACTAAGCCAACCATCATGCATTAATGGAGGCCTTACCACGTGGTAGTAACTATCAAAAACTTTCACCAATTCCCAAATCATGCATCATGCTCAAATCATAATCAAATAGTAATTGAACATTTCATAAGTAACTTCATTCAGTGGCATATCCTTCACAATTTTCAAGATTTCATTCATCATCAATCAAAAACCCCACAAGACGGTTTTCCCTTTTTATATACAAGATATAGTTTGAACACAATTACTACTTGGAACACAAAACACAAATCTACTCACAATACCACAGAAGCAAGTACTAAGGATTGGAAAGTGGTTACCTCTCGCCTGAGCAAGGAACAACAAACCAACGATGTGGCCCTGTGCACCACCAAGACTCACAACTGGTCTACACAAGCACACAAACACACAACCATCATATATTAGCTTTTAAACTAATAATGTGGCCAAGAACAACACTTGGGGACACAAAATTCCTATCTCCGACCAAACTCTACCCAACTCAAAGGGTATAACTATCAAGGCAACACTCCAAAGTCATACCAATCCATTAAAACCTTAATTCCTTTCCAAACATCAATTAAAATTCATAACCTCAAGGACCCACTATAGGAATTCTACCCCCAAACATCCCATTTGAGCAATTAAGGTTCCAACAACAAATCTACACCGATTAAACATCCAATTTAACCCTCCTTAACATAACCCAAATCACAAAACTCAGAATCAAGCTCTACATTGTCATCCTCAATCCCAAATCACCTATTTCCATAAACCCTAACTCCAAAAATTCAAGATTCTTTAAATCCAAGGAAACTACATCGATTAAATACTTAAACTAACCCAATGCAATCAATTAAACTCAAAACAATCGGTCAAAAACCTCAGTTTCATCACAACTTAGAAAATCCTACAGTTCCACCAAAAATCCTCAAAAATTCCAAGAAATTCCAAGAGAGAAAGAAGATTAGAGGTTAAAATCACTTACTTGAGGTAATGGATCCTTAGAAATGCTTTTCCCAAGCCTCAACAACGAAACCCTAGCAGAGCTCCTCTCTCCTCCTTCAAATTTTCTAATTTTCGCACGATGAACTCCTCCCGTGAATATATAGATTCGCGACCTTTCGCCGCGGCGAACCCATATCTTCGCCGCGGCAAACTAATCCCGAGAGGGATTACTCGCCTGAAAACCCGACTTCGCCGCGGCGAACTCCAATATTCACCGCGGTGAAAGCTCCCCGAGAGGAAACTCTCGCTCGCCCAGAAAACTTCGCCGCGGCATGCCCTTACCTTCGCCGCGGTGAAACCTTCCCGAAAGGGAAGCCTCGCTTACCTGAACAACTTCGCCGCGGCGTCCCCAAGACTTCGCCGTGACCAAACCTTCTCGAAACACAAAACCTACCTAGAACCCCCGGTGCGCCGCGGCGAAGTGAAACTTCGCCGCGGTGAACATACCCTGAGAGGGGTACGTTCACCTATTCCTCCAACAAACCTCAAATTCAACCCAAACACCAAGATCAAGATTAAATTGCTAATCTATCCTCAAGATCAACCCAAAAGAGGCTATTAAAACCCGATAAGACTTAGGATGTTACAAACCACTTTATGGCACATACACATAACATAAACAGCCGATATAATTACCAAAATTGTAAGTTATTGCTACCTCTTGATAAACTTAATTCCTCAATCTCTTCCTCTTGTTCTTGGGCCTTTCCTTGTCCAATACCAATGCCTATCAAGCAAAAAACAAAGACATTCCAATTAACTTAACAATTCCATTAACACTTTAACCTAAAACCCTAACTCTTTAACCTTTATTTTAGGGTTTTAGTATCATCTTCTTTAACTTAATTTCCACATGCTTTTTCTACATGATTTTTCATTTAGAATCTATAAATGAATTTAGATTTATCAAAATCTAACTCCTTCCCCCACCTACAGCTTTGCCCGAGAGGTACCCTATATGTTCACTCTTGATCTAGCTGAAACTTTGGCCATGAAGGAGGAAATGGGGTATTTATAATGCAAGCCAATTTACCTTATGGTAATCTTCCAACTTCACAATTTACTTTCACCACATAACAC